GGGGGTTGTCAAGATCCTTCACCCATGAGTGATGGTGTGGAGCAGGTGAGGACTATGGCCTGTGGTGGTGCGGGGCAGATGGTAAATTCCAGTGCATCCTGTCCCTGAGTGGAGCAGGGTGTTGGTGTTGGAGGGGTGTGGTTACTGCTTCTTAGGTGACCAAAAAAATTCCCATGAGCCCTTTAAATAAAATGCCCTGTTTATTTCAGAACCATTCTACAAACTTTACAGGCAGAATAAGATCAATCCTGAACACAGGAAGTGATAAGACCCGAGAATGGGGCACTCATGGGTTTTACTTCTAGTTCCTGTCTTTCCTGTAGTATAGTTTTCAGCATCACAAAGTGGGAGGAGCTAAAGCGCAGCAGCTTTTTTTAGAGACCTAACAAATGTTGCCGTGCTGGACTCAGCTTCTCACCAAATCACAGAAGAGCCTCAGCCTCGCAGGCTTCGAATATCATTTCAAACGTCACAGTGGTAAAGTTAGGCTTCTGGCTGAGATTCATTGAATATTTGGGGTATTTTTAGAAGCTAATTGATCAAAAAGATTTAGGAGATGGTAGGAGTTTCCATGAGAGGCCATGGCCTGTGACCTGGTAATGTGATTAGAGCCAAAGCATTAATAACAGATTAATACATGAGACAATTAAATTGACCTGAGGTAATTAAACTGTTTCAACTCATTCCTGGCTTTTTTTTTAGCGTTTTAGAAAGGTATTGCCCAGGATTTCAAACAATAACCAATCAGAGAAACATAGGACTCTCAGTAATTGACTGCTAATGTTGCAAATATTTAAAAAATGCAATTATTATTAAAATATATTAACATATAAATAAAATATTAATGTCATAGTGAAATTTCAGATACTCAGATCATGTATAAAATAACAAAGATGTCTATCTGTTCAGGCTAATTTGAGTTGCTTAAATTGGAGTTCAATATACCAACTGGTTACCATAAAACAGTGGTTCCCAAATGTTTTCACAGCGCCCCCCTTTTGCAGAGTGGTAGATATTTAAAATCCTGTAAAACCTGCAAAAAGATTTTTGTTTTTATCCTGGCTAAATAAAACTACTTATTACAGTATTTACCTACTGTGAGAAAAAAATATTGAAATTTTAATTAATTTAACCTGCAAAAGCCTTGTACCATCTACTTTGAGAACCACAGCTATAAACTACTGTGTTGAGAAAACGTCAGATATTTTTCTTGCCTCTGCTGCTAGCTTACAGATATCACCATATTCAACATAAATATGTTTTGATGACGTAACCCGACTAACAAACCTTTCGTCTCTCCAGACCGCCCCAAGGTTCGCCTGCCTCGTTTCCTCAGACAGAGATACGTCGCCAACGTTGGAGACAAGATCAACCTGACCATCCCCTTCACAGTAAGCTAAACCTATTAGCCTCTTTGACCACAGTCTCTGTTTTCCATTTCTCTGACCCAATGCTTGTTACCCTGTTCCAACCGACCAGGGCAAACCTAAACCCGTGGTCAGCTGGACAAAGGATGGAAAGGCCCTGGACGCCAAAAGGGTGAACATCCGCAGCACTGACAGAGACAGCATCCTGTTCATCCGTCAGTCTGAAAGAGACGACTCCGGCGTGTACGAGATGACCGTGAAGGTGGACGACTTTGAGGACAAGGCTCAGCTGGTTCTGCAGATTGTTGGTGAGGGTGCCATGTTTTTTAGACCATGCTGACAGTCTTGATTATCAAATCATTTGATGCTAACGCGAGTCCTGGTGTGTCCACAGAGCTGCCTGGACCTCCTACCACCTGTAAGATCGCCGATACCTGGGGCTTCAACGTTGCTCTGGAGTGGACTCCACCCGTCGACAGCGGCAACACAGAGATCACAGGTTACACAGTACAGAAGGCCGACAAAAAGACTGGAGTGAGTCTCCGACCTGCTGTTATCTAACCTAGATTAAAGGCTGTTTTAATTAAGGCCGGCTGCACTGTTTTCCCAGGACTGGTTCACCGTGTTGGAGCATTACCATAGACTGAACGCCACCATCTCTGACCTCATCATGGGCAACACTTACAAGTTCAGAGTCTTTACAGAAAACAAAGTGGGACTGAGTGAGTCCGCTGCTATGACAAAGGACGAGGCCAAGATCCTCAAGACAGGTAAGCATCACTCCTAAAACAGTATCTGACATACAGAGCATAGTATCTGCCTGTGGGTGATTTATACCTATCAAAGGTCACTCAAGGTCAGACTTCTTAAAAAGAACCAGCAAAAGATATTTGCAAACATCAAGAGTCTTTTGTTTTTTTCTTAAGTTGAACGCTTTCATATTTACAGTATGTATTCATCTGTCGTTCTTCAGGTATTGAATACAAACCTACAGACTACAAGGAGCACGACTTCACCGAGGCTCCTAAATTCACCACTAATCTGAGCGACAGAGCCACCACCGTCGGATACAGCACCAAACTGCTGTGCTCCGTCAGGGGATTCCCAAAGGTACAATTATCATGCTAAATCTAAAATAATCCCCAGTTATGTATGTATGTATGTATGTATGTATATATGTATGTATGTGTATGTATGTATTGTATGTATATATGTATATATGTGTGTATGTATATTTACATATATGTAACATTTACACATATATAATATATGTATGTATTAGGGCTCTCAATCAATTAAATCTATATATTTATATATTTACAGATATATATGTATTATATATGTATAGAATGGTTTTATATATTTCATATACATAGTACATATAGTAAATTTTGAGCGGGTGATATGTATTTTGCAATTCTAGAAGTTATTACTATAATCTAAAAGATAAAAAACAATTTATTTTTATTTTCCATTGTATGATTGATTAATCATTTAAAACCATTTCATCAACGCAGTGACTTTCCCACGTGTGCATTCACTCCGTGCAGGATCAGACCACTGCAGACAAGTGTTGCTAACAGGTCAATCCTGTGTTTAGACTGGTCTGTCAGCAGCACAGTCAGTATGAGGGGGGTGGAGGGTGGGGGGGCTGGACTAATGAAGGGGTTTGAAGGAACAGCCTCAGTGCTGCCGGGGTTTCCTCTAAACTGAGATGTCAAAACTCTTCATCTGACCCTGTTGCTCCGCTGTGGGCTGATAATCCCACTGCTGACCAAAGTGGCAGCAGAGGGTCTTGATGATGAGGCCAGACAAAGACAGTGAAGGAGTAGCAGAGGCTGTAGGCGGCACAGGTGTGACATTCCTCACAGGGTCACAGGATTTCCAACATGTCAGCGCCCCAAAGTCATTGTAATATTTGCACGTTCCCTTCAGTCAACAGAGATTTTATTCTTTGGTGCCACAGATGTATTCAAGCGGAAAAGCACTGTTGTCTTATTTAATTCATTGCAACACACATTTTTCTACAGCCTAAGATTCAGTGGATGAAAAACCAGATGATTATCGGAGAAGACCCCAAATACAGGCAGATCTGCGCGCAGGGCATCTGCTCCCTGGAGATCCGTAAGCCCGGTAACTTTGACGGAGGCGTGTACACCTGCAAAGCCAAGAACGACCACGGAGAAGCACTGGTCAGCTGCAAGCTGGAGGTCAAACGTAAGTCAATATCCATAGCTATAACGCTGGTTCCCAAAGTGGGGGGCAGGCTGACTTTAATGGTACGACGCTGTGGAGCAGCAACAGAAGAATCTCCACATTCAAGCAATAAATGTTGTTACTTAGAAGGTGTCATATATTGGACTTATATTCTTCCCTATCTTTAAATATATTTCAGTGGAGTTTTTAAGCAGTAGCTGTGAATATGTCAATAGTTTGTGATTCACTGACCAAAAGCTTATCTTAATGCATAAATTCACGTGTTCAACTGTAAAATCAATAATCAGGACATTTGAACTTTCTGCTAATCACTGCCTTGATTCCCTGTTCAACAGAGCCAGCAGTTCCAGATGCAGATAAGAAATAGGTGAAGAAGCAGGTCAGAACAAACTCTCTTTGCACAAATAAGAACTACTAACAACCACTAACTGACTCATCTACTTCTAAACTGAAGTAACTGTCTGTGAGTGGCGTGCAGTGCCCTTTGGTTAGGTGTTACTTGATGTCCTGGATCTATAAGAGTCCTGAGGTGACATCTGGCCTCCCTGTGTTACTAACCGTCCCTACATGGAGGCAACTAAACTTGGAAAAGGTGGCCTCTGCCACTGAAAGGGTGCAGGAGGTAACACTCGTAAATTAGAGCAGAGGAGGAACATGGTTAATCACATTTCCTCTAGTCAGCCCCAGCAGCAGTGATGGCCTCCATTAGAACTGTGAAATTTCAGCATTTCATTTGCAGATTTTATTACAGATTTTAAGCAGCGTAAATCTGTGTAATGAGGCTGTTTGTTGTTTGCAATGGAAAAAAAACAAGAAAAAACAAACAAAACAAGTTATTTTTGCATGTTGAAAAGTATACACACACACACGTGTTTTTGCTTCATTTGTGTTGGATTTATTCTGAATTGCTGCGATTTCTGCCACCGTGGCCCGGACTCCTGGTGACTCCTGGTGACTCCTGTTACTGTGTTCTACTCCTGGTTGACTCCTGGTGACTCCTGGTGACTCCTGGTGACTCCTGGTGACTCCTGGTGACTCCTGGTGACTCCTGTTACTGTGTTCTGTGCATCTGTTGCACTCTCAATTTAGGAGCAGAAAGGAATGAGGCCTTTGCAGCGAACGGTACGTGACACTTTTAGCTTTTCTAAAACTATCCTCTGCAGCTGAGTATTAAGCAACAAAGCTTTTTTTTTTTTTTTTTATCAAATTTTCTCTCTCTCTCCGTACAGGAAAGTGCTGGATTCCTGGAAGAACATGTATATATGGCTGGTGACCACACTGTCCAAGGGTTGTTGCCTGTGACCTCTTGCCATGTGTTGCTCCATGACGTTGTAATAAACATTTGTGTCACTTTCCTACTTTTCACGACAACAGTCCACATCCATGTCCACCGTCAGCTCTTTCCCACACATCATTCTGTCTATGGTAACTAAATGAACTCACACTGTACCTCTGTGTCACCGCGTCTTACTGTGTGAATGCCAAGAACATCACAGCGTGACTCGACTGTCCCTCATACAGTAGGAGATCAACGTGTAACATCCACGTGTTTATATAACAATAAATAATTTAATTTCTGGGTTTGTTTTTTCCCAATACCTCGTCTGAAGGAGTGTTGTCACTGAAGTGCATAGTCATCAGTTATTTATTTACTTGCCTGTCATCAATTTTGGAAATCACATTTTCTTGTGCAGCTGTTTGAAAATGGACATTTTAAAAATTTGGGACCTTTAAAGACCTAAATATATAGTATTTATATTAAATGTATATATATATATATATATTAGGCACTTTTTCAATTTGTCCCACCTATTATTATAGCAATGTAATGTATTAAATTTCATATATTTTTAATAAATTACAGGTGAATACATGTATAATTGATTAGGTTTCCTAATTAACAGAAAATATATATGCTATATGTATTTTTATATGTAAATATACCATATTTACAAAATATTATACATATATAAGATATTAGGTTACATAGATAACTATATACATTTGGATTTCAATATCTTATATGTGTATATATATGTACATATATAGATAATATAATAATAAATGATATATTTATGATAAATTCCTGTTTTCTAATATTAAACTAAAGTTGTTACAAATGTACTTAAAATAATTGTAAAAAAAAATCAGATGCATTAGACTAAAGGTCCATTGTCATTGTATGTACTTTGTTTTAATTATTTTCTGCTACAGCTTGACTCAGCTGCAGAATGCCTGGACTCCATTTGGCAGCAGCAGCAGAGTCTGAAGACAGCAGCACAATTCATTTAGCTCAGATAGACTGGAGGCACATTATGTCAGGACCCGCATTATAATAATACCAGCCTATTATAAAGATCTTGTAGCTATTCGGTGTGGACATTACTTGCATAGTGATGTTGGACAGGAGGTCAAGACCTCCAGGTTTGAGAGACACATGGTGGTCTGACAAAATTAGCCTCAGGTGCTCCTGCCTGACTGGGGTTATTTTAGGAAGTAATTTTAAAAAACAAACAAAAAATAAGAGAGATTGGCAGAGGAACATTTATATGACGTATCATATGAAAATCGTTTATATGTATTTTAATAGAATAAAAAACTATCTGCAGTCAAAGCGGTAGATGCGATTCGAATCCTTCAGTCTGGCTCCCTCTGGCGTCTCGTATTAATATCTGCAAACATTTTACAAAGACATCGTTCCATCTTTTGGTCAGGATTTAGTCATTGCCCTTTTTTGTCCTAAAAATAATTAAGGCGCCGGAAATGTGACTTCTGTTTTTAACAAAGGGGTTAAATTAAATGACCTTCTTGCATCGCTGCTCCAGAGCATCTAGAAGCTACATGCACACAGGCTCAGGCCTACTTCTACTTCTGCCTGGTCCCTGGGTGCTGACATGCAGCAATAAGGTCATGGAGCAGGAGACTTCCTGTCTAATTTAGGCCCCGCACTGAGCATTCACTTTTATCAAATCACTTTACAGTGAACATCCTGGAAGAGTGTGTTCTAAACATGTACATTTACATATGTAGAAAACCAGAAGGGCATTGTTAAAAAAAAAAACAACAACAAAAGAATATATATATATATATATATATATACTGTGTGTGTGTGTGTGTGTATATATATATATATATAGTATATATTGTATATATATGAGTGACCATTAGTATAGTATATACTGTATATATATGAGTGACCATTCCAAACACAATGATAATAAATCGCTGTCTTGTCTAAAATATATATACAACCAAACAGTGACTAAAGTCAGACTAAATGTTTGCTTGTTTCCAATCCACATGGATGAAGTGTGAGTCACTGTTGCAGTCCTGAGTTTGCAGTAAATGTTGAGTCACAGGATTTCCTCCAAACTGTACTGTAGTACTGTCACGGCCACAGTCCTGTTAGTCCTTATGGTAATTTTTTTCTAGCATTAAAATAAAATAAATAAGAGTGAGTTGGTGAACACTGGTAAATATTTAATCTTAATTTTTCATATTCCTGCCTGTTTTTTAACCTAGTTACTGTGACATCATGTAATAGATTACAGTCAGGAGTCTTTCCTTCTCTTTTCTACGTTGTGATGGAATGGTCTCGTTAAAAGGTGGACTCTTTGACGATGCAGTCATCTGACTCATCTGGTGGCGCTGTTCTCCTCATTGGTGGTGCATTGACGGCTGTATCTGGTTGATGCTGTGTCAAGGTAACGCCAATGGCAATGAGACAGTACGTCCTTCCCAGAGTCAGTCTGGCTGCTCTTTGCTGCAGAGGTTTTTGGCTTTGTTCCCGGGTGGTTTTAATAAGTGTAATGGTGAAGCTGGCACCTGCACCGTCGCCCATCTGATGCTTTTCATCATCAAATGTTGCACTTCTACATCTGAGGGACTGACGGGACTTAGACTTTTAGGAAATGTTGCACAGCTGTAGTTAAATTAATTTGATGGAGCACAATCTTGAACTCTCCAAAGGAAAATATGCATTTTTAGATCCTGCTCACCATTTGATGGGCCACGCGGTGGCAGAGGGGCTGGTGCTCTTGCCGTACAGCAGTCCTGGTGCTGATGCTATTTGTTTGTGGAGTTTGTATGTTCTGTATGGGTGTGGCATTTTTTCTTGTTTTCAAAAACATGCAGGATGAGGTTAACTGAGCACTGAAAAAACCCAGCATACTCAAACACTGACCCGTGGACCACTTGCAGCCCAGACACAACCTTGGTGTGGCCCAGTCTGTGGTCATTTGAGAAGAGCAGCAGAGAGAAGCACCACTGCCAAAATTCCAAAATCTCCACAGACCATGAATGCAACCCTCACCATAGCCTAGCAACATGTGCTCCTCAGTGCATCACTTCTGTGTCTAGAAGTTTAAGCAGTTTACTATGCAGCAGCATGTCCTTCGGCACAACTCCACCTTAATAATCCACCCCCTGACTTCATGGACATGTCGCAACATGTTTTTCCAACACATTTTGACATATTTCCCCTTTCTATAAGCTGAAAAGGGAACAATTATAATTATTTCTGCTGCGGTGTAAGAAAGTAAAAAAGAAAACAAGCAAAAAATATTTTTTATGCCAAGATTAAGGACGTTTCACAGTGATCTGTAAATTTGTATTTTTATCAGGGGATTCATTTTGAATCGACTCCAAGAGCGACACAGTGGATTAGTGCAGAGAGGCTGCCTCACAGCAGAAAAGGTCAACAGTTTGTGTCCTAGCATAGTGGATGGGGTCTTTGTGTTTTTTGTCCGACACCTGAGAAACTACAAGAAGGAATAAATATTCAGTTCAGTTTGTGAAATTCAACCACTGGTTACCTCTCCTTCTCCTTCATTTTTTTCTTATCTCCACAGTGAGGCAGCAGCAGTGGACTCCTGCTCCCCAGTCTCCATCCTTCATCCTTAAATTATTCAACACATTCAAGTCACATACTGATGTCTGTGAAGACTATAGTGAGAAACAACTGTAGATGTTTATGATGAGACCACTGTGGAGATGAAGAGCTGCAGCCAGAAGGAAACAACACTGCTACTGCTGCTGCTACTGCTACTGCTGCTGCTGATGCTGCTGCTGCTACTGCTGCTGCTGCTGCTGCTGCTACTGCTACTGCTGCTACTACTGCTGATGCTGCTGCTGCTGCTGCTGCTGCTGCTACTACTGCTACTGCTGCTACTGCTGCTGCTTCTGCTGCTGCTACTGCTGCTGCTACTGCTGCTGCTGCTGCTGCTCCTGCTGCTGCTGCTGCTGCTACTGCTGCTGCTGCTGCTACTACTGCTGATGCTGCTGCTGATGCTGCTGATGCTGCTGCTGATGCTGCTGCTGCTACTGCTGCTGCTGCTGCTACTGCTGCTGCTACTGCTACTGCTGCTGCTGATGCTGCTGCTGCTACTGCTGCTGCTACTACTGCTGATGCTGCTGCTGCTGATGCTGCTGCTGCTGCTACTGCTACTGCTGCTACTACTGCTGATGCTGCTGCTGATGCTGCTGCTGCTGCTACTGCTACTGCTGCTACTACTGCTGATGCTGCTGCTGCTGCTGCTGCTGCTACTGCTACTGCTGCTACTACTGCTGATGCTGCTGCTGCTCCTCTCTCCTTCTTTCCTCTCCTCCTCACACCCCATCTTCCCCTGCCCTCTCCCTTCCTCCACTTTCCACCTTTCCTCTCTCCTCACTTTTCCCTTTTCTCTTTTCTTCACTCAACTCCACACCTCCTCATTCTATCCTCTCCTCTCCTTTTCTCTCCCTGCTCATCCCCTATACAGCCCACTCTCTTCCTTACCTCTCCTCCTCCCCCTCCGACCCTCACCCCTCCCTGCACTACCCTGCAGTAGTAGGATCATGCTCCATTAGAGCCACTGCAGACTCCTTCTTCCCATTCTCACCTCTCTAATCAGCGCTCACCCACTCCCCCTTCCTTCAACCTATCTCTCCTTTTCCTCTCCTCGCCTTCACTCCTGTTTTCCTCCTTCACCTCCTGCCTGTGGTTCTCATAGATCAGCGCTCTATGCTTGTCTGAACTGATGTAAAAAAGTGATGGAGTAAGAAATAAAAGAGGAGCACACAGTTGTTAGTGCGCCACAGAAGCCCCTAGCCCCTCCCTCCTCTACACAACTGATGACAAGCAGGCTTTTATTGAGCTGCTCCTCAGCCAATCAGAGACCAGTGCCGGGAAATACAGCAGTGGAACTGCACCGGTTGTGATGCTGGAGCTGCTCTCAGTGTGTCAGAAAATGTTAATCTGTGTGAGTGTTTCCTCCCGTCTCCTCTAGCTGGCACCTGAACGCAACTCTGCTGCACTTCTTGTCCAGTGAAGTTGTGTTGGTAATACCTGGGGGGGCTTTTAAACAGAACTCCCCCCTGCCCATATAACAGTGGGACTTGTCAGCACTAGGGAGTTTTGCAATGTCTTTAGAGAGTGGGACAATTCAGAGTGCAGATTATTGAGATTTCCTTTCGTTCTTGAACCTGGTCGCTGCTCCCAGTCAGTCCACAGGAGGCAGCACCTCTCCCTGGAAGGTAAGTTCCTTCTTGCCCCTTTTTGTCTTTCCAGAACAGAATCATCGTTTACTCAGGGTGACACAGAG